TTCTGTTGCTTTTGTTCCTGATGTATTTTGGGAGGATCATATTTCATTTCTGCATTTCTAACTCAAGGATGGCTGCAGACTATCCTAAAAACAAATGTTTACCAAGCCACAGTTCCTGTTTCTGATATATATTATGTTCCTGCTACAAGGAAACTTTGTTCTTTAAACATCTGTTGCTGGCAGATTATTTTTTAAGAATGGCATATTTTCCAGGAACAAACAATTTGCCAACAACAAGCAGAAATTTTTAGGAACATTGGCAAGTTTCACAAATGTATCTATTTTTTTCTTTGCAATCAGAATACAGTGAAGAAAAGATAGAAGGAAAAAACAGAATATCCATGACTGATAAAGAAATATATTTGTAGCTCAGGGTTGAAATGAGGGGTTCTTGGTTGTTTTCTTGCAAGACATTTCACTACCCAAACTAAGTAACATCATCAGTGCTAGTGATTAGCACTGATGATGTTACCTAGCTTGGTAATGAAATGTCTGTAAGAAAACAACCAAGCTCCGACTGGGACCCTTCAGAACAGATATGAAAGATGAAGACTCTATTTCTTTTCTTCTATTTTATAATTATCATAACATTTAAATCAAGACTTATAACTGTAAAAAACGTTTGTTCTTCAAAATAATCTCTGCTAAATACACTAATGTAATAGTATATGTAATAGTGTAATATGTCACAAAGAATAATTAATAAAAAAGAGAAAATTCTGAGAAAACATGGATTCAGTGATCAAGCTTAAGGTCCAAAATGCTTCTATATCTTTTCAAATATTGTAATTTTTGTTTGTTTGTTTGCTTCCAGATACTATTGCTATCTTGCTCTGTAGATCTGTTCCAAGTACAGAAAATACTTTCCTGAAGAAAAGCAATAACTAGGCAATGCGCTTCCTGAGGCAATGATTAATGAATCCATTTGGGGGCATAGCTTATCTTTGACATTTAGGGAGATTTTCCACATAGTGGGCCGATTGGCAGCTGTCAGAGTTAAACTTCAGTTAAGTAATACCACAGAGATTGTATATATCAAAAGCAAATTATCATTATGACAACCAGACTGTCATCCAGGCTAATGAGGCAAAACCTCTCATATTGCTTATAAATTCAGGTTAAACGTTGGGAATCTTTTCAATCTCTTAAAAGTAGTCAGTATAGAAGACACAATGATTGCTTGGAAATAAGCATATTTGAATGGTGAGTTTGCTAGGGTATCCACATCAATCAATCAACAGGATATAGCAATAGCACTTAGATTTATATACTGCTTCATAGTGCTTTACAACCCTCTTTGAGTGGTTTACAGAATCAGCATATTGACCCCAACAGTTTGGGTCCTCATTTTACCAACCTTGGAAGGATGGAAGGCTAAGTCAACCTTGAGCCTGGTGGGATTTGAACTGCAGTTAGCCAGCAGTCAGCAGAAGTAGCCTGCAGTATTGCACTCTAACCACTGCGCCATCGAGGCTCCTATCTGAAATACACACTTCTGTCCTGTAGCACAAGAGGCTGAGTTTGCACAGGCCTGATTAGAAATCCTATGATAACTATGTCCTTCCTCATCCCTTTTAACTTAAAAACATTGAATAAAGTATGGCACAAAAATCTTTAACTATGGGGGCTTCCAGGGAATGTATAGTGAAATGAAGATGGCTCTGTGTAGTGGAGCTGATAACCTCAGCAAAGACCAAGGAATCAAAGTCTGTTTTTTTTAATCTCTCCAGATAAAGAGAGGATGATATATCACCATATATACTCCTCTTCATTTTCATTTTCTAATTACTTTCAGATATTGTCTAAAGCAATTAGAGACATTTGGAATGACAGGTTTGAGAAGTCTTCATTGGGTAAATTTATCTTCAACTCTGAACAAAAGAAAAATTACAAGCTGAAGATCTTAAAGAATTAGAAATAAACAGCAAAAGTTATAAATGAATTAAGGATTGAAATAAATTTTGAAATTTTATTATTAGAATTAAGTATTTGGTTCTCATGGGACACACACTTATTTTGGTTATCCTGGCAACTGCAAGTCATAAAAAAATATAATTGATGATTTTAGAAACTGGACACTAGAGGAGACTAAAGATTCTAAGCAGAAGGAAAAAAAAAACAGTATATAAGCCTTAATACTGGGATTACAAAATGACATAAACATTGAAAATATCAGGAATATTAAAGGAGAATCTTTGAAGAATGGAGCAAGAAATTAGCAACCAGAATATCAACATTCTCAATAATGATGTCTGCTTCTATGGACAGATTAATGAAGAAAGGACTATGTGGAACAATTTTTATTTATAAGATAGAGTATAAAATATGGAAATAGAAATGAAAGGCAAGAGAGTGATTTAGAAAAGAATGCTCTGCTGGATATACAAACTAAACCAGCTAAAGTTTTAAAAATTAAAGGGAAATACAAATGATAAATCAAGAAGATGACCTGCAAAATATTATTGGATCTACAAAGGGTGCTTGTTAAAGCCTTGGGAAAAAAAATCTGTGTAATGGAATAAAGAATTAAAGATAGATCAAATCCTACATGATATCTGAATTAAAGATTAAGACTGTTAGACGTAAAAGGAAAAAAAAGATATAAAGTCGAACAAGGTAAAAATAAAACTTTTTTTTTTTGCAATGTTCAAAAACGCCGACCCTTTATGGACCTTTTGTTGACATCCAGATTGAAAAGTGGATATTTTATAGATTTATTTGTAGATAAGGGATGGGTTATCGGATGAAGAGATATCTATCTAAGATATTATACGGGTAAAGTGTTATTAAATATGTTTTCATTTGTTGCGATAAATGTTGGAAGTCCCTTCTTTATATATTGATTTTTCTTATTATTTCTTTTCTTTATTATATGCTTTTTTCCTCCATCATTTCTTCATTTCTACTCTCTTCTTTTTCTCTAAGTTTAGTATGTATTCGTTTTTACTATTACAATTAAAATTATTAATAAAATTATATATACATATTTTAAAAAAGATTTAACTACAACATACTGTACCTAGTGCCAGGGCAAGTATGAGGTTGGTAAGTTTTGAAGTATGAAGAAGAAATGAAATGATCATGGCTTAATAAATTCCTCTGTATATTACATGTGAATGGGGATACATCTGGCATTTAAAAAAAAAACCTAGAGGGAAACTGAGTAGAAAGTAACCATCTGTTTGCAGTTGTTTCCTGAAGGGTAATCATATGAATCCGCTACAACAACAATATGAACAAAAAGCCTTATGGAATTTTAAAAAGTAAGCCACACACAGGACTTTTTTGCTTGTGCCTATTTATAGCAATGTTTGTACACATTTAAAACATATTTTCAGCATAATAAATCAATACTCAATGATTAGTATTACACCTAAAACATGTGATGCCTGTCCTTATTTGCAAATTAAATACTTATTTACATAGCGAAATGGCTAATCTTCAAAAGCAAGGTTTAACCTTACATTTGTTTCTTCGTGGGATCATAGGTTATATCAGTGGTGAGGTTCAAATTTTTTTACTACTGGTTCTGTGGGTGAACTATTCAAAATTTCCACTATTAGTTCTCCAGAACTGGTCAGAACTTGCTGAATATCACCTCTGGATTATAGGGGGTGTGAGAGATTCCTGAGAAATGAAGTGCTCCAATTTGCAACCTAGCACCCTCAAATATCCTAGAACATGCAATCATGCATGCACGTATATATACACACACACACATGCACATAAAAATCTTTCAACCCCCCCCTCTCTTTCTATCTCTCTCTCACACACACAGGAAAAACTTTCGAACCTGTTCCTTCTCTGTTAGTAATGGCTTCCTACAGCCTTTTAGCAGGTCAGAAAGATCAGAATGGCATCCAATCTTTTAGAAGTTGCCTATTTCTGATAGAGTATTATGGATGTAGAGAGCATCTTCATAAAATGAGAATGCAAGTCTATCTCCCATGACAAAGGAGACAAAAGAAGAAAAGAAGTTGAGGCAGAGATACAGAATGGAAGAATATACCGCTTCAATAATATCTAACTATTTTTCACCATCTAATTTTATTTTTTTGGTGTTATATTGTGTTATACAGGTGAAACTCGAAAAATTAGAATATCGTGCAAAAGTTCATTTATTGCAATAATGCAATTAAAAGGTGAAACTAATATATGATATAGACTCATTACATGCAAAGCAAGATAGTTCAAGCCGTGATGTGTCATAATTGTGATGATTATGGCTTACAGCTCATAAAAACCCCGAATCCACCATCTCAGAAAATTAGAATATTACATGCAATCAATAAAACAAGGATTGTACATAGAACAATATCGGACCTCTAAGGAACCCTTTGCAGGTGTTATGGCTTAATTAGCTGATTAGCTGAGTGGGACACTTTGAGCCTAGAATATTGAACCTTTTCACAATATTCTAATTTTCTGAGATTGTGGATTTGGGGTTTTCGTGAGCTGTAAGCCATAATCATTTCAATTATGACACATCATGGCTTGAACTATCTTGCTTTGCATGTAATGAGTCTATCTCATATATTAGGTTCACCTTTTAAGTTGCATTACTGAAATAAAACAACTTTTGCACGATATTCTAATTTTTTGAGTTTCACCTGTAGGAACCCAATCATTGTCTTGGCTTAGCATACTTATCTTAAACTGTAACTCTTATCCGACAACTGAATAATTCCATAATGAATCAAAAAAGCATTAAAAACCATATACCATAGTATGCCTTTCAAAATGCACAAGACAGTCTTGTGTTTTAAAACTTCCAATTAGATCTGCTAAGAATTAGGACATTCTTAATTTGTTTAATAACTTATTTTGTCCTTGACTTATCAAGAGCCTAAAAGTATAAAATAAAGAATATTTCTGACAAAAATAACCATCTCAGTAAATGGTGAACACTGTCAAAAGGACTGCTGAATGATGAAGTCACCCTGAAGTAACATACCGTGGTTTCATAAATACCTCAGAGTAGATCAAGACATTATTCTTACCTAAATCCTTGAGGACAAATGCAGGTGTATCCATTTACAGCATCTACACACATGGCACCATGGCGGCATTTGTGTCCCCTGCAGTCATCATCATCTGTTTCACAGTGCTTCCCACTGTAGCCAGGTAAGCATTCACACCTGCAACAAGACCATTAAGGACTCCATTAATACAAAGTTGCATACTAGATTGTATCTCCAAAACCTGTTCACAGTGTGCATGTATATGAAACAGATAGCCAACCCAAAATAAAATGGAACTCTAAGTCTTACACATCAGAGTTGAAGTGCATTAACTGGTATTTCTTTCATTTTTCCCAATGAGAGGAAAAATGCTGTCTAGTTTATTTCCATGTGCGCATAAGTTTGAAAGCTGGTTGATAAAGCAAAATGTCTCTCAGCAGTGTCTCTCAGCCTTGGCAACAGTAAAAGTCACATTTCAAGCCTCCCCAGAAAATAATGAACATATTCAAAACAGTGCAAAAGAAGTAGAGTTCCGAGATTAATATTTAACATATCTGGAAAAGGCACTTCCATATACTTTTGGGCTATAGTTATAACCCACTTTCTTAGAGTTAGAGTAAAAGATTGGAATAGAAAATGAGACAGAATTTTTTCCAAATTTAAGAAGTACAGATAAGTAGTAGAGTTTATCAAATAAGATCATCTTATTGTGCAGCAGAGATGCAATGATTATGTTTCATCAACCTGAGTACATTACTTACATAGAAAACAACTTATAGGACCAGTTCAAGCATTGCCAAAATCTAAATGGCTGAAAGTGTGTGTGCATGTGTATGAATGCAGCTGTACTAATAGACATTTTATTTAATGTATAATTCTAACAAATATACAAGAGATATATCAAAACCTAGAGCTGACATTAGAATAAAACACTGCAATAATCAATGCAAGACATTTTCTAATATAATGATATAAATGTGTCCTAATGCTAGCAGAAGTTTAGTACAGTGAATAATGGAAAGTTTTTTTATAGCTTTATAAAAGTCTTGCAAAAAAATGACATTTTTAAATCTGCATAGATCAGACACCAGGCATTTATTTAAAGGCAAGTCAATGTCAGAAATCAGGAACTATATAGAAAAAAATCCTCTAAAAGGTGAAGAGGCTATTTTATGGAAGGAAAAACTAATTGACCTTGATTGTACAATTTAGCTGATCTCAATGGAACATTAATTATAATTTAGTGATTCAAATAATAATTTAAATGGATAATATTCCTGAAGACTCAGCTGAGATAGGGTTTGGCAAAAAGTAGCTATTTATGATACCGGGAGAGATCTAGGTTGCCTAAATTGCATTACAGGTAATCCTCAACTTATGACCACAATTGATTCCAAAATTTCGGTTGTTAAGTGAGATATTTGTTTAGTGGTTTTTTCCCCCGTTTTATGACCTTTCTTGCCACAGTTAAATGAATTACTGCAGTGAAAAGTAAGTAACATGGTTAAGTGAATCTGGCTTCCCCATTGACTTTGCTTGTCAGAAAGTCACAAAAGATGATCACAGCAATGGTGATAAGTATGAATTCAGTTGCCAAGCATTTGAATTTTTATCAAATGATCATGGGGATGCTTCAAAGATTGTAATTGTGAAAAATGGTCATATGTCACATTTTTTCCAGTGCCGTTGTAACTTTGAATTGTCACTAACTGAACTGTTGTAAGTTGAGGACTACCTGTACTGTAAACCCAAACAAGGGGATGGAGAATTGGAAAGATCTACCAACAAACTATAAATCCAGGCAGGACATCACTAAGTTCAAAGGTAATTACTTAAACTTTCTGAAGTTTGATATGAACAAATTTCCCTTCTACTGGGGATTTCTTTAAATAAATCACTAAAGGTAGATTTCCAATTCTTAGTCCAAATAAAAGTGATTGTTTTACCATAATACTAAACCTATTTTTATTTCCTTTTTCATTACTTTGTAACTTAAACCCAGTTAGTTTTGATGGAATTCAGCTGAATAGGCATTCAAGCAGTGGTGGGATTCAATTTTTTTACTACCGGTTCTGTGGGCATGGCCTGGTGGGTGTGGCGTGGCCTGGTGAGCGTGGCTTGGTGGGTGTGGCAGGGGAAGGTTACTGCAAAATTCCCATTCCCTCCCCACCCCACTAACCTGCTTTCTAGCTCCGTTCTCCTGTGCAGGGCAACAAAACAAGACCCAGCCAATCATCTGGGACTTGGGAAGCAGAGAAGAGATCGGGACGGAGCCAGTCAGAGGTGGTATTTGCTGGTTCTCCGAACTACTCAAATTTTCCACTACTGGTTCTCCAGAACTGGTCAGAACCTGCTAAAAATCACCTCTGCATTCAGGCCTTTGTCAGTTTTGCAGCTAAATTTTATTGAGGAAATCAAGTATTAGCCTGCCTCTCAATCTAATAGCGTCATAATCTCTGATAAGATCATTCATGGTTGGTCTCCTCACAGCTGGAATTCATTCACACTGGATCCCTTGCCAATCGATAAATATTCAGATCATCTCTGTTTGCATGGAATCTGTTCAAACTGAATTACTGAATAATTGCTTCAACTGATATTATAGTAGTTGCCGTTATTCTATACAACATCTCGCATCAGTTGCAGCAATTCCTCTATAACTTTGAATTGAAAAAAGGAGAGATTGTCTCTTATTAAATCCAAAGATTACTGTTTTTAAAAAAACCTTTGAAACAGCATAGCAACCAATGTTTCAGGCATACTGGCAAGGAAATGGTGTTCATAATAATTTGCTGTGGGAAGAAATAGCGACATTTAATCCTCTTGCTTTATTGATCCCTGTTGCCACAAATAAAGTGATGTAATAACAAATGATGCCCACATACTTATTCAAAGCTGCCATGGATCACATTTTTGACATATATTGGCTATTGTCATAACGATAGAAACACTACTTTTTTTTGGAAGACAGCATTAAATAAATGCTTTAACTTTTGTCAGTAATTCCATGCTACAGAATAATAAAATTTATTTATAACTGTGCTCTAACACATCGGGCAGTTGGAACAACAGCTTCCTTCTCTGGAGAGATATATTGAATTAATGTGTGTGTGTATGTGTGTGTGTGTGTGTGTGTATCTCTCACTGGAAGATTTCATGAAGAATTGTATGGAAAAAAGTTAGTTACATAACCGAGATCCTTAAATGTTAGAGCAATAGGGAATTGTGTTAAATACAACCTCTGGTTATCTTCATTTCAGACCACTTATATTGGTTTTGGCCTCAGGTTTATTGAAGGATCACAAACCTGAAGCCAAAACCAATATAAGTAGTCTGAAATGAAGGTAACCAGAAAATACTGTTACTGCAGTCAATACTTTAAATTATTTCAGTTATTATTTTCTTCTCTTTTTATTTTTCATTCCTGAATTTATGTGCTCTCTCCTCCTTCAATCATTGCTGATCATGAATTTTCAGATTTCTTTCATTCCTGCAAGTGATAAATCAGAAGATAGCATCTTTTCCAAAGGAATAAGCTATAATGAGAGGCAGCACACTTCATCAAGTGCATAGACTGATATAGGATTTAAACTGGAAGGTCCATTTAGCTTTATTAAAACTTTATTGCTTAATTAAGATAGAAGTTTTTATTAATGCTAATTCTAATCTAATAGCTGCTTTATGGAATCCCCAAATTTATTACCATGGGGCACTTTTTGGATCAAATCCACATATCAAACCAAAGAAATTAAAGGCATAAGATAATTCAACTATTTTATTTCACCTTAGGAATAACGTATGGCTTCATCCTATTTCTTTTGATTGGAAGCAAACCAGAAGTCATTATACATGCCTTTTGGTTCCAGTAAGCAAACCACAACTATAAATTGGCATAAAGGAAAACACTTTGGTGGGCAACGTAATAGGGACACAAAAGGAGACCCAACTGGGCATCCTCTGGGCAACTGGTAATGTTACCAGTTGATCCTTTCACCATGGGAGGGCTTCGGTACTTCTGAAATGGAAGAACAGCATAAGGAAAATATTTTCTTCATTTTTTGTAACTTGCATTACACTGAATTGAAATATAAGGAATCACACCTATCATTTGAACAACAAATCCCAATTTCACTTGTAAATACAATAGCTATATTTGAACAACTACAATTAATGAATGGATGTGCAGTTTACTTTCTTCCCAGGCTTGCTTGAAATACAGTGTGCAATGGGGAGAGATTATATGTTTGTTAGTTGGGTCTGGAATGAGGTGGTCTCTCTGGATTTGGTTGTTTTCTTGGACAGAAAACACTGGAATGTGGCAATTAGTTAATAAAGTAACTCATTAGGCTTATACAGTATTTTAATAATATACAGTATTTTAACATATCAACAGTACATACTTACTTGTACTCTCTATCAAGAGAAATACATTTGGCTTCATGTTTGCAAGGGTTTAGTTCAGGCACGCAATGGTTGATTACTTCATCACAGAGTTCTCCTGAAATAAAAATAAAATTAAGAGAGCTTTTATATAAATTTAGTAGAAGTTTAGTTGCATGAATTATAATCAGAACTGAAGAATGAAAAATGCTTATGAAGAAGCTATTGAGGACAATGATATTACTGCCCTTTGTTTAAAAAAGAAATTAATGGCATACCCACGATTAAAACTTTTATTGTGGTTTAGGACTAGTCAATGCAGCAAAAAAAAAAAAAAAATACAGATACCTTAAACAATCCATTGTATATGAAACAGGTTGCAATACTAGAAGAGTTGAGGTCTTTATGAATGTTATGAATATTATTGTTGTTCTAAAACAAAATAAATAATTGTTTATCATCATGAACACATTTAGAGATGCCTGTATAACCCAAAATGAATACATTTCTCTTTGGTTGTTCCATAGAGGGTAAAAACAGGAAGTTTTTGCTAGAGGATGTAATAAATTGAGTGCCATACAGTATCCAGAATTCTGTCTTTGCCTTGTTAGTTTGATTGTAACTCAATGTTACAAGGCTTGTCTTAATAAAAAAAACTTTATAAGGCTAGTTTATATGTAATGTTTGACTTTCAGTGAACAAAAGCCATCTCCAATTATTACAGAAATTATTGTATTTCTAGTTTCTAATAATGAACAAATGATTCACAATGATCAAAGCCACAATCTTCTGAATAATAGTGTTATGATAAAATTCCCTTGTAATATCCCAGCTTTTTTCCCCCACTAATCTAATCTCTTACATTTCCTGAACAATTTCAGCTGCACTGTAAGGTTTCATATCAAATGATTCCTGCACAGAGATTCTGAAATGCATTTCAGTCCAATATTTCATTTCATTTACAATCTTGCACATGTGTGCAAACACATGCACATACCCATACTAATAACATAACTCTTAATGGCCAAAATTAAACTGTAAAATATGTTATCAGAATTTTTATTGTGCTAATTATTACCTTAGTAGTTAAAAAAAACCCCTCATTTGCTGATTTCCAGCACCAAAATCAAGTAACAGCATCTTCATTATTGCCAATTACCATTATCACTGCAGTCCCAAAGTTGGCTTAATTATTAATTGCAAAAGATTCCTCCCAAAACTTCACCAGAAACACATGGAGTTCCTCAATAAATTATTTTTGGCTGCCATTTTCCTAGTATAGAAACAGTGTTAACAAGTGCCCAATGAATATCCAAAAAGCACAGAACTGTGTGTTTCTACAATATGATCCTCCCAGCTCCTTTCAGTTTAGTTCATAGCTTGTTGGCCATTTGCTGAAGTCATCCCAAAGTGTTAGGTCTATCAAGTATCAACCTGGGATTTTTTCATAAAGCAAAGGAGAAAATAAGTTTGAGTAGTACTGAAATGGTATCAATCCAGTTGATATCCATTTATGCAAATGTAAAGAAAGAGCTTTGTTCTTTATTTTTAAATTAGGGTCTCAGTCAAAATGGAACATTTTGAGCCTTAATAATTGTTAATTATTTGTGACAACTGAAAGAAAATAAATGCTGACATTTTAGATTTTATCAGCAAAGTATACAAATGCTAATACAATTTTTTTTGAGATTGCAATGTAGCTTTAAGGTATATTCTGTCAAAATGTAAAATAAATCACACAATAATGGCCTTAACATGATGCATTGTATTTTTTAATGTCCAGAATTTACACACACACACACACACACACACACACACACACACCTAATTCTGTAGACACACAATATATACACACAATTTACATATATTTTACATATACATATTTACAAATTACATATTTATACACACACACAAATACACAAGACATGTATGTGTATACACACACACACACACACACAACATATATACTATGTATATTTATATGTATGTATGACTTTGCTTGTTCTTTAAAATGAAGCTAAGTTAACACAATGAGGAATCCAGATTTGAAAGCATTATGACATTCATTTTCATGTATATATTACATATACTTTAAGTCAAATAACGGGATGATATCGTGAATTTTTGTTTTTTGATGAGTTGCAATTTAAGTATCATCTTCCAAAAAGCAGCCAGTGTGATGATATATGTGAATATTCTGATGTTTAGATATAGGGCCCATAGCCTTAAGTGCCTCCAACCCCATTCTAGTATGTAAGGATATAATACTTTCTTTACAAATTAATAAGGATATAATAACTGAATGCACTAAGTTAGATATTTAAGACTATAAGAAGGTAAAGAATAAATCAGAATGGCTGATACATAATCCTGAACAGAAGTCACATTGCCATCATTGTTACTTTCATATAGGTTTTAATGATATCTACAAAAACTAAAGATTTACATGTATTGGATACCCATATGTGTATCTTCAGGAAGTAATTGATAGGATCAGCTAATTATTGGAGTTATAATGCTTAAAATTAACATTTTTTCATATGATATTGCCATATGCTATTCTTGCCATAATTTCATATATTAATTTAGTGGAGTCTCAGATTATATTGTGTAAGCTTGTATTCTCTTGAATTATTTTCTAATGATTTCAATTTGAAATAGATAAGTGTATGCTGTGATAGAGAAATAATAATCTTACAAGAATGGAAGGATATACATTTTCTATTAATTATACAGTGATTTAGAAAACTTACAAATAATTTACAAATATTTCTTATAAATAATTTAATGTCTAGCTTTTAAAATTCGGAATGTGTGTAGGAGTTTGTGTTTCATTTTCATGTTTTCATAATGTTAATAAACTTAAAGATTAAATTTGGGATGATATATATTTGAAGCAATGCTAGTTTTTGATTACTGTATGATCATTTTCTGGCACCTAAATGAAAATACTTTTTCTTTTTGAAATTAAATATGTTTTATATTGGCCAAACTTACATAAGTTATATTGGTGAATAGGATAAGCAAAGCTTCCTCAACCTTTTATCATTGAGATGGAGATGACTTTGGGCCACTTCCTCTTTCCCAGGCTTGGGAAGAAGGCAAATTCATTTTTTAATTACTTTTCAAGCTATTCTACTTTGTTCTGGTTTAATTTATTGCATTTTGCAGGAAGACATATGCAGCAAACATCTCCGATTTGTTCACAGGAGTAGGATAACTTCTTAATTTAAGAGACATTTCACTTTAACAGACATCCCACTGTCTTATGAGCCTGTTAAACCAAACTATTACTTTTAATGAAATATGATCCAGATAATTCTGACACTATAATTATCCATGTTACACTCAAGGGCTAGTGGATACAACTACATTTTAAAGGCACTCTTTGCATTACTGCCTTTCTTGGGGTACCCAGTTTGTACCGAGTCCAGTAAAAAAAAATCTTTTTAGCAAAGGCTTGGTTGCAACTTGGTATATTCGAAAAAATTGTTAAAGACTGAGTTTGTTCAATCCGGGTTCCTATGAAATTTACTCAAGTGTCCAGTCTGTGTCATGTTCTTCATACAGGAGTCTTAAAGCTGAAGCTAGTATGGTACATGTATCAGTATCTTCAAATTTTCACCATTTTTCAAAAATGGGAAGAAAGCAGCTGAAGGAAAAGCCGTTTCTTTCCTCACACATTGATTATAACAGGGTATGATTCAGTCAAAAAGAATGTAGGCAAGTATTTTGTATGAAACTACAGATTGAGAACATCTAATTCTTGCTGGTATCTATTTAAGTAATCAGGTCACCAGACTTAATCCTGCGTATATCTCAATCAATAACTATGCCAAAATTCTGAACAACTCTGACATGTGCATTCTGTAATGCCTTACAAACTTGTTTTTGGAAGGGAAAAATCCAGAAAATCCCATAAAGTGAGGGAATAGTCATTGTAAGTCAAGAGCAATTTATCATTATAAATCAGGAGCAATTAAAATAAGAGGCGCATATTACTTCCATTATACCATGAAGTTCACACAAAGTTATTGTACCCTTATTACAGGTACTTGTCAACTTATAAACAAAATTATGATGGATTTCCCTAGTGATATTTATGACCTGGATTTGAAGCTGTGACAATCAGCTGTGATTATATGGGCATTCGAAGCTGCCCATATAATCACATGATCACACTTTTGGCACTTGGCAACTTTATTATATTTATAGCCATTAGCACCCCACAATCACATGATGACTTTTATGATGTTTTGCTGAAACCAGATTTTTTGCTGAAACCAAATGCAATTTTCTTTTGGTTTTCATTGAAACTGTCCCCATAAAAATCACTGGTTTACTTACTGACTATCCCCATAAAAATCACTGGTTTACTTATCGACTGTTGCAAAAAATATTGTAAAAGTAGATTGTGATAGGCAAACTCAGTTATGGTTGTAACTCAAGGACTATCTATATCTCAATATTCATGTTATATTGATTCCTTTGATATCAGTTGTGTTTTATCTGGTCTTGCTAACAATATTGAAAAATTTTGACATATAGCTGGCAAAACCTGTAGGATTTTTACTAAGAACTAAGAAACTTGTTATATTTAGTTCATTTCCCTTTTAAATACTATTTTGTCAATCTTCTTTAATTAATTTTATTCTGTTATATTATGAAAGACTGCTCACTGACTGAAAAAAGTCCTTTGTGTTTGAAATTACTGATGTAATGGATGTGGTGATTCACAAAACAACTATATGCCAATTGGTGAAAATGTCTCCATCCCTTCCTATGTCGTAGAACATTCTGCTTACCTAATTCTTTTTTTCCAAAAATGAAGCACATTTTAGAATGGGATATCATGTTGTGATAGTTAAATTTATAAGTATTTTCGGGGCCCAAAAACATTTCTGAAAAGACAAATAATACTAGATAGTGATTCTTTGGTAGAATGCAGCTTCTACTTAAAAAAAAGGTTAAAAGAATCATTAAATCATTAAAAAAATTCAAATGAAAATCAATGTCAGGTGGAGCACAGGATGTTGCAGGTGATGTTTGGATACATAGTTGTTTGCACTCACTATTGGACTTACTTCTCAATAGTCAGATCCTTTCTGCTCTTAAATC